ACTCAAAATGGATCAAAGACTTGAATGTAAGACCTGAAACCATAAAACTCCTAGAAGAAAATACAGGTAGTACACTCTTTGCCATCGGTCTCAGTAGCATCTTTTCAAATACCATGTCTACTCAGGCAAGGGAAAGAAGAGAAAAAATAAACAAATAGAACTACATCAGACTAAAAAGCTTCTATGAGACAAAGGAAATCATGAACAAAAAGAAAAGACAAGCCACCAACTGGGAGAAAATATTTACAAATCATATATCTAACAAGGGGTTAATCTCCAAAATATATAAAGAACTCATACAACTCAACAACAAAAAGAGAAACAACCCAATCAAAAAATTGGGAGAGGATATGAAAGGACATGTTTTGAAAGAAGATATACAGATGGCCAACAGGCACATGAAAAGGTGTTCAACATCACTAATTATTAGGGAACTGCAAATCAAAACTACAATGAGATATTAATGTTACACCAGTCAGAACGGCTATAATTAAGAAGATAAAAATTAACAAATGTTGGAGGGGCTGGCCCCATGGCCGAGTGGTTAAGCTTGTGCACCCCACTGCAGGCAGCCCAGTGTTTCATTGGTTTGAATCCTGGGCGCGGACATGGCACTGCTCATCAAACCATGCTGAGGCAGCGTCCCATGTACCACAACTAGAAGGACCCACAACGAAGAATACACAACTATGTACCGGGGAGCTTTGGGGAGAAAAAGGAAAAAAATAAAATCTTTAATAAAAAAAAATTAACAAATGTTGGAAAGAATGTGGAGAAAAGGGAACCCTCATACACAGCTGGTAGGAAGGCAAACTGATGCAGCCACTACATAAAACAATATGGAGATCTCTGAGAAAATTAAAAATAGAAATGCCATACGATCCAGCTATCCCACTACTGGGTATTCATCCAAAGAACTTGAAATCAACAATTCAAAGAGACTTATGCAACCCTATGCTCACTGCATTATTCAGAATAGCCAAGATGTGGGAGCAACCCAAGCGCCCACCAATAGATGAATGGATAAAGATGTGGTATATATGTACAATGGAATACTACTCAGCCATAAAAAAGACAAAATTGTCCCATTTGCAACAACATGGATGGACCTTGAGGGTATTAAGTTAAGCCAAATAAGCCAGACAGAGAAAGACAAACACCATATGATTTCACTTATATGTGGAAGAAAAACAAACACATGGATAAAGAGAACAGATTAGCAGTTACCAGAGGGGAAAGGGGAAGGGGGAGGCAGGTGAAAGGGGTAAAAGGGCACATACGTATTTTGACCACTAAAAACTAGACTATTGGTGGTGAGCATGGTGTAGTCTATATGGAAACTGATATATAATAATGAACACCTAAAACTACACAACGTTATAATCCGTTATGATTTCAATAAAATAACTTTTTAAAAAAGAGATTGGTTCAGGTAAGAATCATCAATGGATGCTAAATCTAGATCAGAAAGTTTGACGAGGACCAGGATATGTGCATAATCTTCAATTATCTTATATACTGCTTATTAGGTGCAAGGGAAAAATATCATCTATATAGTATAGAAACAATACAATACTATATAGATCACACTTTATCTCTAGCTGGATATTTTATCTAGTATCTGAATGTGACCACGTGATGAATAGTGACATGGCTAATGAGGGCGACCGTATGCTGCAGAATGTGATCTTAAGGAGGACACAACATCCTTTATATGGTATTCCAGTCAGAGATGAAGAACCTAAATGTAATCATGAGGAAACAGCAGACAAACCAAAAACGATGAACATTCTTCCAGAAAGCCAACAAAACAAAGCTGATCTGTCTTCTTCAAAAACATTATCATCTCAAAAGACAAGGACTAAGGAACTCTTCCAGGTTAAATTATAAAGAGACATGACAACTGAAAGCAAAAATGATCCTGGATTAAAAGGAAAAATATTTTTTAAAGGGCATTATTGGGATAAGCAACACTGGAAATATGTAGAGTAGATTATATAAAAGCATTGCATCAATGTTAAATTTCCTGAAATTTGATAACTGCACTGTGGTCATTAAGGAGAATTTCTTGCTCTTAGGAAATAAAAACTCAAGTATTAAGAGGTATAGAGGAGCATGATGTATGCATCCTACTTTCAAACGGTTTAGAAAAAATTTGTGTGTGTAGACAGAGGATATGATAAAACAAATGTGGCAAAATTTTTAAAATTAGTAATCTGCAAGTTAAAAATCATTTCAAAACAATTCTTTAAGTACTATACGTGGATCAATTGCCCAAGGACCTACACATTGTTAAGAATCTAAGCAATGGATATATTCTAGAGTTTAAAAAAGTTTTGTGATCATCCAGATGAAAGGGCTGAAAGAGAAACAAAGAATAAGCCACAGCAAGACCAAGAAGACCAGATAGCTGTTTGCATCACCCTTTTTCTCCATGGCTTCCTGCAGATGCCATTAAAAAACAGTCCTCATAAGGGATACTCACTACACCCCGCCAGTGGACCAACAGGATTTCCTAGCAAATGAAAAACGTTGCATGGCTATTTTTAATACTAATGGTGGGTGCCCTTTCCACCCATTTAAAAGGTATTGTCACCCATTCCAAATTGAGGTGCAAGAAATAACTTACATTGGTTGTGTTTGAAGGTTTTCACTAACATTTAATTTTACTTTTTTTTTTTAAAGATTGGCACCTGAGCTAACATCTGTTGCCAATCTTCTTTTTTCTTCTTTTTCTCCCCAAAGCCCCCCAGCACATAATTGTATATTCTAGTTGTAGGTCTTTCTGGTTGTGCTATGTGGGATGCCACCTCAGCATGGCTTGATGAGCGGTGCCAGGTCTGCCCCCAGGATCTGAACTGGCGAAACCCTGGGAGGCAGAAGTGGAGTGCACAAACTTAACCACTTGGCCATGGGGCCAGGCCCCAATTTTATCCATTTTAATGTAAGCAAATTTTTGATCAACCCAAAGAATAAAGATACTTAGTATATTTTGCATCTGATTTGAAAATATACACATATTCCTATTAAATAAAAGGTTTCTGGAAACACACCTTTTAAGCTTACTATCCCTTACACTCCACATAAAGCTGGTTTAAGATCTTTACTTTTTTTTTTTTTTTAAAGATTTATTTTTTTTCCTTTTTCTCCCCAAAGCCCCTCGGTACATAGTTGTATAGTCTTCATTGTGGATCCTTCTAGTTGTGGTATGTGGGACGCTGCCTCAGCGTGGCTTAATGAGCAGTGCCATGTCCGCACCCAGGATTCGAAGTGACGAAACACCGGGCCACCTGCAGTGGAGCGCACGAACTTAACCACTGGGCCACGGGGTCAGCCCCAATCTTTATGGTTTCTTAATACTAGGAAGATTGTGGTCTCTCCTCTCCATCCCCACAATATCCAACACTATATAATGCATAATTTTAAAATTTCAAAAGAAACTAAACTTACATGTACACTAGGCCAAGTTTACTGAAACAAAACTTCTCATTTTCTTTTGGTGTACCTGCTTTGATAGTATCTTAACTACATGTATAATCCCTCTAAAGAATACTCCAGCACTTGTCCCATATTATTGTATATACCAAGAGTTTGTGCTAAAGTCTTTTTTTTTTAATCACTGTGGTCTTTTGCTCATGTGACATTAAATGCTATTAATCTGAAACAGGCGCAGGTGTACATTCCTGGTAAACAATTCTCTACTACACATATTGAATCTGAAAGTTCAAATTGTGTCTCTATGTCAAGCCTAATGATGTAACTGATGGCTTCTACCTTCATTAGAGATGCTGGAATTAAAAGGGCTTTTAAAATATAATTGCTGTTTTCAAAGCAAAAGAATAAAATGTAAAAACAAGTAATGCTTGCAAATCACTTTACTCTCTTGCTCTAGGAAGACTTACATATGGTATAATTATAGAGACAGGGTTCTTTTAGAGCAGTGGTTCTTAACCTCAACTACACATTAGAATTACCTGGGAGTTTTTAAAATCCTGATGCCCAGGCCAAGTCCCAGCCCAGTTAAATCAGAACCTCTGGGGGACGGACATAGGTATCAGCATATTTTAACACTTCTAAAGTGACTACAATGTATAACTAAAGTAGAGAATCACTGTCTTAAAAAAGAAATATTCTAGAATATTTAAATATATGCTACTTTAAAAATAGCACCAATGGGCCAGCCCTAAGGCCTAGTGGTTAAGTTTGGTTCTACTTCAGTGGCCTGGGTTCACAGGTTCAGATCCCAGATGCAGACCTACACCACATGTCAGCCATGCTGTGGTGGTGTCCCACATACAAAAGAGAGGAAGACTGGCACAGATGTTAGCTCAGGGCTATTTCTCCTTAAAAAAAAGAGGAAGATTGGCAACAGATGTTAGCTCAGGATGAATCTTCCTCAGCAAAGAAAAAAAAAAAGAGGGACCACTAAGAGGCTACAAATTTATTCTGGTGATGCTCAAAATTCTTTTCTTAAGGCTTTTTCTTAAAACATTTTGTCATACATTAACCAAAAATGATGTTAGCCATGTTGATCATCTGCCTTATTAATTATATTTAGCTGTTAATAGAGATAAAAAAACACAAGTTTTAGAGTCACAAAGACTTGGGTATAAGTCCTGACTCTACCATTTAATAATTAGTTCTATGATTATGGATAAGTGGCGTACCCTCCCTGAGCGCCCATATCCTCATCTGTAAAATGGGAGGATTAAAGTAGAAAACCATGTGCACAACATGGCCTCTGGCACATAGGAGGCCATGTATAAATGGCTGTACTTATCATTATCAAGCTACATTAGAAGTCGTCAAGGCCAGGAATGTATCCTGTTTAAGGTTATATTTTCACAACCTACCACACAGTAGCTACACAATAATTATTGTTAAGCTCCTTAAGGACTTTTTATCTGTCTTTGTAACCTTAACACCTCATATTCTGATATACAACAAAAGCTTAACAACATTCTGAACACAGGAAACAAACATTTCAGATAAGAACAAACCCTCAAGCCTTGCTTTGTAGTAAAGAAGTCAGAATAACCAGCATCCGTAGCCAATAGTCCCACAAATTGCATCGCAGGTCGTTGCCGTATAAACAGTTCTACAGCTCCATCGGTGATGTAACTGCCACCCGAAATATCCAGTGACACAATATTAGGCAGAATATCCTTCTGCTGTAGCAAATAAAAAGCCAGATCTGATTTGAGTTGCCTGTGATCAGAAATATCAAGGTGAAGCAGACATTTAAGTTCTCTAATGACTGCAAGAATTTGTGATTTGCTCATAGTTAGGCATTTCAGATAGTGCATTGTGAGAGATTTGAGTCGATCCTTACAGGTAAGGAGGGCAGAGATGTTAGTGACTAGAGTATTGGAGATATCCAAGCTTTCCAGTTTTGGTAGCTGAGAAACATCAGCCAGGTCTTCACTATGAAAACTAACATTGAAAACACTTAAAATGCGCAGACCAGTGAGCTGACCAAAGGAGAGCAATCGTGAATCTCGAGGGATGCTTGCTGAGTCCAACAGGAGACACCGGAGGTTTTGCTGGATCCAGCTATTGCCGCAGAGTCCACTTATGATGTCTGGGATTGGGAGGTCAGCGTGCACTGCAGTAGCATCCAGTTCAATGAGTCTGTGATGGCAGAAGGCTTTTACGAATGCAGCTGTAGAGATTTTAGCTTTCTGAATATTGACCAGCTTCAGTTTCATTTGGTTGCCCCGGAAAATGCTCGCTGTTCTATCAGTCAGCTTGCCTGTAAGAGAACCAAAACCATCTTGTAATAACAACTAAATCTCACACCTTTTCCAGGAGGCACTGTGGCCAATTAACTACGACAGATGCTAACAATAACAATGACTGCGTTTACTGCTTACTCCGTGTCACGCATTGTTCTAAACCCTTTACTCAGATCATCTCATTACTCTTTGCAATAATACTATGACTGAACTATTATTACTACTATCTTATAGCTGAGGAAACTGAAGTTTAAAGAGGTTAAGGAACTTGCTCAAGGTGAAACTATGTGACAGAATCAGAAATCAAAGCCAGTTTGACTCCAGAGTTCGGTTTTATCCATAGTAACCTTGTTCGCATTAAAAAAAAGAAAATGAATAAGTACGAGATATATAATATGCAAATAACACTACTATATATGACCAGTCACTTACCTCTCCAGGACTCATTCTCATCTTTAAAACAAGTGGGTTGTACTAGATTTCACTGAGCAAGATTTAGAAATGCATCTTCTATGTGTGAGATCCACGTTAAGTAACGGGCACACAAGGTAATTAAACACCTGTGACCACAAGGAATTCACTAGCAATTATGTCTAGGAAGACAGGTTACATAAATAAATGATTACAATAGTACATTACATGCAGCAGTGATTTGTACACACCAGGTACTCAATTAGTACAGATGAGATTAACCTTGGGGAAGGTTCTGAAGACTATCAGTTTGCAGGGGGAAGGTGAAGGGTGGAAGAACATGTCAAAGACATGGAGGCACGTGACAGCAGATTAGTGGAAACAACCCTAAGTAGACCAGCACTATTGGAACCCAGTGTACAAGTGAGGCATGGCTGGAAATGAGTGGAGGGAAAGCTAGAGGGCAGATGGGGCCTGTACACCCAGCCAGGAAACTCAGACTTTTACCCTATGGAGAACGACTCAAAATTTTTAAGCAAAAAATGAATGGTCATAACTATATTTTTAGAAAGTCCAAATATGTAACAGTGTAAAGGAATTAGCATAGTGTTTGATGGGAGTGAGATGGGGCAAGAGATTATTAATGATTTTAATGATGAGAGATGAAAATTTAAACTAAGGCTGACAGAACATGTGGCTAAACAGACTGGGGGAAAGGGCTGAGGGAAAAGGTGTATCAACTGATGCCCACTTTGAGTCGGGCTGGGCTACTAAAGCAGGAGAAGGAAGCCCCCATACCTCAGGCTTTGAGGAAGAACTTAGTGCACTCACTTATACAGTTATTCAACAAACATCAAGTGCTCACTGTATGCGAAGTGCTATGCTAGATGCCAAGAATGGTGAATGACACAGACATGGCTCCTGCCATCATGGAGTTTACTTACACTCTAGAGGGAGAATACAGATATAAGGGAATACAGAACAAGCAGAATGCTACCAACGTTAAAAATGTAGTAAGTGTTCTAAAGGAAACAAATGAAAACATAATACAGGGATGGGAAAAGGGAGGAGGAGGACAAGAATCTTCTGTCTCTCTCTGGGTTTGAGGTGCTAACACTTAAGTTTACACTTAAAAGATGTGAAAGCAAAGGTAGCTGTCATTCCAGATAGAGAGAAGAGCTAAAATCCTGATGGGGGACCAGCTTGGCTTTTTCTGTGAAATGAGAGAAAATCAGTGTGGCTGAACACAGCTGGTGAGGGGATACCCGCAGCTGACAGCCTAGAGACAGAGGCAAGAGTCAGATCTTGCAGGCCAGGGTAAGTGAGTGGCATTTTATCCTAAGTACAAGAGACGTCTTTGAAGAGTGACAGAAGAGTGGCCAGATCTGATTAAGATAAAAGAGAACTGTTCTCTGCTGTGTAGCAGATTTTGGTGAAGGGCAAAAGTGAACCACTTGAGAGACCAGGTGACAGGAAAGAAAAAAGGTGTCACTGATGGACTAGGAGGAAAAGAATGTTTGAGTTAAGTATTTTGAAGGTAGAAAACGTTTCAACAGAATCAAGGGAAGAGGGAGGAAGAATGAAAAATGACTCCTAAGTCATTGAACAATCAGGTAGATGATCAAGCCATTTTGGAGATGGGGGAAATGGTAGCAGAGTGGGTGCTGTGATGTGACACCCAGATCCCCTTTAGGAATAAAGGACATACTACTTGAGCTGAGGGAAGTGCCTCCAGATGACAGCCATCCTCTATGGGGACCATATCAGCTGAAAAGAGTTGCCTCACCCAAAGTGACACCACTTGCCCATGGAGACCTGCATCCAAAGACCGAGTTGGGCAGTATAAAGATCCAGCCCTGGGGCTGGCCCCATGGCCGACTGGTTAAGTTCATGTGCTCCACTTCGGCAGGCCAGGGTTTCGCTGCTTCGGATCCTGGGCGTGGACATGGCACCACTCATCAGGCCATGTTGAGGAGGCGTACCGCATGCCACAACTAGAAGGACCCATAACTAAAATATACAACTATGTACTGGGGGAATTTAGGGAGAAGCAGCAACTAAAAAAAAGAAAGAAAGAAAAAAAGAAGATTGGCAACAGTTGTTAGCTTAGGTGCCAATCTTTAAAAAAAAAAAAATCCAGGGGCCAGCTCCATGGCCGAGTGGTTAAGTTCACGTTCTCCGCTCTGGCGGCCCAGGGTTTCACTGGTTCGGATCCTGGGCGCGGACATAGCACTGCTTGTCAGGCCACGATGAGGCGGTGTCCCATATGCCACAACTAGAAGGACCTGCAATTAAGATACACAACTATGTACCAGGGGGGATCTGGGGAGATAAAGCAGAAAAAAAAAAAAAGATTGGCCACAGTTGTCAGCTCAGGTGCCAATCTTAAAAAAGAAAGAAAAAAAAAAAATCCAGCCCTCACACCTCAACTCAACACAGATTGGAGTAGTTATTCTACCTTCAGGACACCCCACAAGATCAGCCAAGGTCTACTAGATACTATATATTTTAAGTCTACAATGCAGCACAAACATTTGGAATTAAACGGCATAGACAGTATTCAAAACCATGGGAATGAATGACCTGTAACAAGTAAAGGAGGAAGGACCAAGCACTGAAAGCATCTACATTTAAGGTCAGATAGTAGAATGAGGAGTAGTCATGATAACAACTAACAGTTACTGAATATTCTAAACATTTTAGATATATTAACTCTCTAAATCCTCATAAAATCCAATGAGATAGGTATTATTATTAGTCACACTTTACAGATGAGACGAGGCATAAGGAGTTAAGTAACTGGCCCAAGGAAACTTACCTACTAGCCATGACAGTATACAAACCCAAAGAGTCTAGCACCAGAGTCAGAGCTCCTAACCTTTAATCTGCACTGCATTTCAAGGGGAGCTGGATAAGGAGACAGATAAGCAGCAGCCACTGAGGTAGAAAGAAAACTAGAAGAATATGATGACTCAGCAGCCCAGAGAAGAGTTAGAGGACACCCAGGAGGCATCCTAGATAGTGGTTCTGGAGCTGAGAATAAAGTCCTGAGCTGAGAACTCTCCAGAATCAGAATACAAGTGGTAGCTAAACCAAAGAAAATTACCCAGGAAGTGTACAAAGTGAGAAGGGTGATGGAACCTTAAAGAACATAAAACATTTAAGGTGCATACAGAGAAATAGAAGTATACAAAGGAAATTGTGGAAGAGTAACCAAGAATACAAGAAAGAAAAAGTACTCTAAGCCAGGAAGGCCTAGAGTAATCAATACCAAAAGTCAAACCTACAAGGACACCTAATGATTTAATTAATCTAGGCAATGGTCATCTATGGCCACCAAAATCATAAAACCAACCAGACAACCAGACTTTATTAACCCCCTTACGGAAGTCAAGGGCACTACAAAAAAAAGTCAAACCTGAACTAATCAAACCTCTACCTCTAACTTCCAATTTACAGGGTTACAGGGATCAGAAGGAACATGTCAAAATTACAGCACAAACAATGGCAAAATCCACACTGTGGGAAACTCTACACAACAAATAACCACAGTTTCTTTAAAAAATATAAAGTAAGTGGAAAATCCCAAGACAGATGTAGATTAAACAACACTTCTAAACAACAGGAGTCAAAGAAGGAATCTTAAGAAAAGTCTTAAAATATTTTGAACTAAATGAAAATGAAAACACAATTTATCGAAATTTGTGAGAGCAGTGCTTAGAGGGAAAGTTACAGCACTAAATGCATATATTAGAAAATAAAGATCTAAAATCAACAATCTAAATTTCTACCTTAAGAAAGTAGAAAAAGCAGCATAAATCAAATCAAAAGTAAGCAGAAGAGGGGGCCGGCCCAGTGACGCAGCAGTTAAGTTTGCACGCTCCGCTTTGGCAGCCCACAGTTCACCAGTTCAGATTCCGGGTATGGACCTATGCACCACTTATCAAGCCATGCTGTGGAGGCGTCCCACACATAAAATAAAGGAAGATGGCCACAGAGGTTAGCTCAGGGTCAATCTTCCTCAACAAAAAGAGGAGGATTGGGGGTGGATGTTAGCTCAGGGCTAATCTTCCTCAAAAAAGAAAAAAGAAAGAAGAAATCAATGAAATTGAAAATCTGAAATCAATTGAGAAAAGCCAACAAAAACAAAAGCTGGTTCTTTGAAAAGATCAATAAAATCACTAAGCCTTTAGCCAGGCTAACTAAGAAGAAAGGAGACAAATTACTAATATCAGAAATGAAAGAGAGGACATCACTACAGATCCCATGGACATGAAAGGAATACCAAGAACAACTTGACGCCCACATATTTGATATCGTTGATGAAATGGACCAACTCCTAGAAAGACACAATCTACCAAAACTCACATAAGAAGAAATAATTATCTGAATGGGCTTAATAGATAAATTTAATCAATAATTAATAATCTTCCAAAACAGAAAGCACCAGGCCCAGATGAGTTCACTAGTGAATTCTACCAAATACTTAAGGAAGAAATTATAGCAATTCTCTACAATTTCTTTCAGAAGATAGAAGCAGAGGGAATACTTCCTAACTCATTCTTTGAGGCCAGCATTACACCAACACCAAAACCACACAGATATT